CTCTCTCTCTCTCTCTCTCTCTCTCTCTCTCTCTCTCTCTCTCTCTCTCACACACACACACATACACACACACACACACACACACACACACACACCCCTGACTGATCTGGCTGATCAGGCTGATCAAGAGGCAGTTTAAGGACAGCCCCCAAGGTCCTCAGGAATTATTTAACATCGCAGACAGGATGATGATCACAGCCACTGTTCAGATCAGATCCCGTCAGAAATTATTTATAGACGGTCTGGTAAACGTCTTGCATAGGACCGGTCAGTCCACGTTCCCTCTACAGCGCAGCAAGAGCTTAAAGGACAAAGCAGCAAAGCGTGCGTGCTCTTCTCCCATGGCTTGGCATGGTGGCCGTGACCCCTGCTTCGACCAGGGCCTTTCAGAGGCACCGCCCTCTCCTTCCCGATGCACCACCAGGAAGAATGTCAACTCTCACGGTAGAGCGCTCAGAAGAGGACACTCAAGTTGAACTCACTTCCTCACGGTAAGAAGAGATTGAGATGGAAGATAAGGTAAGGGAACAACGGACCTGAAGATAGCTTCCCCCAACCACAGATTTCTCACCACTTGGGCCGACGTGCGTTTTGATGACCGGTCATAGCCTCGGTACCACCCACAACGCAATGCAGTGCCACCTCAGCCAAAATGCATGTCAGCATACTCTCATCATCCACATACACCTGCTGTCGCCACAGCTCCCACGCTGTCTTCACAGCCTTCCTGCCAGCCTCCCCTCTACCTGGGAGTGGCAAATCATGCCAGCGCCATTGTATCCTCACTGCATGGAAGCTTCATCAGGGCACCTAGTAAAAATGACGCCGGCGCCGGTAACGGCGATCTCGAACCAGCTCCGATACCAAATTGCAAGGAATATGAGCGAGCGCAATAGACAGAAATCCAAGTTGCACAATCACGAAGAAGCTCAGATAGTCATGAACCAAGCAGAGAGTGCAATGCACCAAGATACCGTCCAAATAAGAGCAATACAATGAACTCAAATGTCAATGTTGCCACTCTCCGGTCACACCAACACTGTATCCAATGTCACACTTACAGTCTGGTGCCCAGCGCACAGCCTATCCTACTCAGCCTATCTATCTTCCTGCAACTGGGTCACTCTGAAGTTGAAGACCAATGTACGTGACGTCAACACCAATGCCGACCAGCAGCATACACCAGGTAAGTTCTCTCTCCTCCCCTCATCACCCCTCGTCTTCCCACAGCATGCGCCTCCTACCCGAAGACCACCTTCGCCATCACCTGCCCTGCGCCCCAGCTGCCTGGCTATGGCTGCTGTGCGCCCACTGCCTCAGCAGCGTCCCTCTCACCACTGCGCCCGTGCTCGCCTCCGACCAGCAGCGCCCATGCAGACATTAGCGTCTCAATGCAGCAGCGTGTCCGCATTGCCTGCCCAGGCCAGAATACCCTCCTCTGGGCTGGCCTCTTTCCTTTATGGAAAGTGCTGCCCGTGTGTGTCTGTGTGGGCCTGGCTAGGAAGTTTCCAGTAGCTTCCAGTCGGGCCCCTGTGTCTGCGCCCAGGCCCACCTCTACAGTTAGGGGCCCGTGCCTCGTGGGGGTACGTACCCTCAGGCAGCCACCCCAGCCTCCAAGTGTTCGCTGTTTCCTCCTTGGCTCATGACCCAGGTGTGACGACAATGCTGCCTTCTCGTTCGTCTGTGACCGCTTCATGATGTGTCGGCCTCGCACTGCGTGTGCCCAGGGCGCAACCACCCGGGCCCTGGGCTCAACTGTACAGAGCAGCCCATGTTTCTGGAAAGAGCCTGAGGGCTGACGATTCTCTGTAACCAACTGGCTTGCTGCAACTGGCTGAGTACCCACATATGGAAAAATGTTGAAATTAGGCTTCACATGGATATTCAGGCCCGCCTTCACTTAGGGCGGGCACAGGGCTTGCTGGGGGCCTCAGCCCAGATCACGTGCGTGGCTGACGAGGGCCCCGCGAGGGCTCATTCCTCGCGCTACAGTCAAATTCAGTTGTGAAGTTTTTGCCGGAAAACGAATGGCCTTAGATGCATGGCTATGTTTGCGTGCTCTTCCTTCTCTTCTCTTCCTGTTCTGAACTCTCTCTCTCCTTTTCATAACTCTCTTCCCTTTGGTCTCATTCACGCTATGTTGTGTTGGCTGCCTCCATGGTGCCAGGGTTAACATGATGATCGCGACAGGAGCAGCAGATGATGCGGTGAGGATATTCTCAGTAAGCAGTGAGGCCTTCGCCCCGGTGAGTAGCGGTGTGGAAGGATGTTTGTTTTTTGTTCTCTCCCCTTGTTTTCAGACAAAGTGACTGTCGTAGCATGTCCTCTTTCCTGGAGTAAAACAACCCCTACCGCCCCGGTGAGTACCTGTTTTGAAGGACAGTCGTCTTTCGTTTCTCTCCCCTTGTTTTCAGACAAGTCGGTGGTCATAGCATATCCTCTTTTCTTGGAGTAAACCAACCCCTTTCCCTTCTGCGGAACTTGCTCGTCCAGAGGTGATTATCGCACACATTCCCCTCTTCATGTCTCGTCCATTTGTTTTGTTGTCCTGTTCCTTGTGAATCTATCGTACTAAGATGCTATTGGGCAAGCAAGGTCCCACTTGCACAGGTTGAGAGAGAGTGTCCATAAATAACGATGAAGATCAATGGCCTATATCTTTCTTCTTCTTTTTTATCTTTTTCAAAAAACGTTGATTGCCTTACAGATATCACCATCCAACTGACAATCCCATATAATTCAGTATTACTCTGGGTACATTGGGTGTGTATTTCAACAGTTCATCGGTGTACCAACTGAGCTAGGCTCGAGTGGGACTTTGTTGCTTGACTGCAGAGACTGAGCTTGGGGGTTAGCCAGATCAGCCGATTAGTAGCTGATTTCGACCAGTTGATTTTCATTATATTATTCTGTACCATTGTTGTGAATGTTATTATTACAAGGGGACCCGCAGCGACGTCGCCGCGGCAAAGGGAGGGAAAGGGAGTAGGGAGTGGAGAGTTTGAAAGGAGGGAGTGAAACAGGGAGGAAAGTGAGAAAGGCAGGATTTTGTAGCGGGTTCCGGGCAAAACAGAGAAGACAGCAGGGGGAAAAGAAGGGGAAATGTGTGCGAAGGGGGGGGGGGGGGTCCACGTCAATCGTACGCGTCCCGCTTTGTCGCAGACCCGCCTTGACACACGCGGTCTCTCTCTCTCTCTCTCTCTCTCTCTCTCTCTCTCTCTCTCTCTCTCTCTCTCTCTCTCTCTCTCTCTCTCTCTCTCTCTCTCTCTCTC